ATGTTCAAATCTCCCATGACATATACAATTTTGTTTTCTCTTGTTAATTTGGATAATAAACAGCCAAGTTCCTCATTAAATTGAAGTGGGTTAAGGGAGGGTGGTCGATAGACGGTTCCGATAATAATATTTTTGGAATGAGGTCTTGTTATTTCAATGAAAATGGATTCGGAAGTAGAGACTGGGAGATGGAGGTCATGCCTGGTAGAAAATGGAAGGCTATCACGAATATACATGGCTAACCCACCACCGTCTTTGTGAGTTCTGTGGTTGGATATGAATCGGTAATTGGGGAGTTGAACCAAGGGATTGCCGAACTTAAGCCAGGTCTCACTTACACCAATGACATCAAAAGGAAAATCTATTATTGATAAGAGCTGCTTTAATTTATCAACGTTTTTTAAGAGGCTTCTAGAATTCACATGAATGGTAGGAAAAAATTGCTCGCTTTGATACTACAGAATTTATTGGGGTCATTATATTGAGATGTGGCATGATTGTTAGCAAAAAAATAAGTGTCAGGGTCAATATAAGGTGTAAAATTATCGGAGTTGTTTGAAAAACGGGGAGAAAATTAAATTTGAGAGTCGGTCGTTATTCGATGTGCCGCTGAATGACCTATTTGACATAGAAAAAACCAACTGGAAAGCTCTCAGCAAAAATGATCAAAAATTGCATAAAAACAAGAAATGACAATATGGTAAATAAAATGATGGTCAAAAGAAGATAGCAATATAGCAACATGATCTTTATACCTTAATATAACGTAACAATAACATAACATAGTAGTAATACAAAGACAGAATAACAACCAAATAATGAAATAATGTTAGCTGAATATAACACAATTAATAACATTACATAGGATAGTAATGAAGATATCAAAATAAAACAAAGTCATAGCCTAGTAATAACACCCATACGTTTCACACCCTACGTTTCCACAATGCGCTTAACTTCTCTTATTCCGTTCTGTTTCCAACAAATCCCGATTCTCACTCCGTTACTCACGGTATCCTAATGCAATTCCGGTGTCGTTACAATGTCGGTATCGTTTCAACTTTCTGTATCGTTGCAATTTCAGTACAGTTCTACCCAAGCTCGAAATACTGTTTTTTTGTCACAGCTAAAAGCTTCATTGATTTCAAACGATCACAACTATTTTCGATACCACCACCGGCTAACAATATATATACAGAACCCCCAATAATGCAATCGCTGATTATCACTTAGGCCAACCATTATACAATTATTTGAACATTTAACAATCAAGTTTTGCCTACAATATATCATACTATATCATTCACATCGTTACTATAAAACACAACAATCAACTCATTAGTGTCTGCATTACACTACCATGTTCTGTCGTTTACAATATAAAGGAAAACATCGATGGAACAGAAAAATCCGACCTTCCTTACAGTAAATGTGATAACGTATATGTTTAACATGAATCTACCTCTATATGGCCATTTACTTTAAGATCATTCCCGATACAGACGGATCCAGAAATTCAAAGTAGAGGGGGCCCGTGGAGGTACTTTTACAGATTGAGGATTCAGCCCTACCATGATTTTGCGTTAAGGTAAGGAAATGTGTGATTATGACACCTCTGATGGCCGCAAATTGGACTCTCAGACTTAATTTTGAATATAATTTTATTCCTTATCTGGGGTAACTTTGGCAGGTTTTTACCATTGTAGGGGCAATTATACACCAAAACAACTATCTTTTTTTCCCTATCGTATTATATACTGAGGGTTATTGTTGCCACTGATGTCGGAGAAAAATATAAATCTGCATATAATTCTTCCCTGAGGGCTATAAAGGACTGCCAAAGTTACCAAGTTTTGGGCAACATTGGCACTTCACAAATTTTCAATGAATTAATATAAATAGGCCTATTGACAATAAAATAGACAAACACAAGCTGAATTGTATTGGCAAGCAAATATCAACTTAATAATAGAATCTAATACAACTTAAAAGCTATTCTAATAGAGTGTATATCTGGCGGGATTTTAATCTATTCAACCATAAAGCCTCTGTGGTATGATATTTATGACATTCGCCTTGACAGCGAGAGGTCGCAGGTCCGAATCCCGTCAGAGGCATTTTATTACACAATTTCTTTATTCACTTAATTATATTGCTATATTCTTTGAGAGCTATGCTACAGTACACGATGTATTATTATGCCATATAATGGAATGAATTGGAGGACAACAAAATTTCGGCCTCGATTTTCAAAAGAAATCTTATGGTTACATGATGTCATACGGTAATATTTTGGGATAAATACGGTAGTTAATTTGCAAATATCAAACCCACTTACTGTAGTACTGATTAATACTCAAATGCTTCGGTATGATTTATAATAATGAGATACGTATAACCTAACATATTTTAGTCTTATAGTCAGTGTACTGTAGCGTGTCAAATGCCCTATAATTCAACTTGCATTATCTTGTTTATTGAATAATATATCTACAAACACAAACTCCACTCCAGGGGGGTGGGGTGGAGAGAATATTCAGAATCGAACATTGCACACATCCCCCCAGACACCCCCGTAAATTTGAGCAAAAATATTACGCTCGCTTCCACTTTTGATTTGCTTTCCCCTAGAAAATTGCTCAGTTAAAGATTTATCAGGAAATGCTAAAAAATATCCCATTTTAAGATGTTCAGATTCAGATCCAATTTATTTGGTCCAATAAAATGGAAATGACATGAGTACATTTCATAAAATATGTAAAATACTTTTATATAAAAAATACAATACAATATTCAGTACAATAAGATATAAAATACAATATAAGATAAAAAAAAAATTACACCAAACACAATAAAAACGCTTACAGGGTACTTTTAATTTACATATTTAGAATACTAGAAAAAGACAATAAAATATGCATTACGATACCAAAAAGATCCGAAAAATAACAAACACCAGAACACTAAAAAACAAGCCTAAAACTTCCAATTATAGATTAAAATTAAATAGTAAAAGTAAATAAAATTAAATTATATACTGTACTGTGATTACCTTGCTAGAATTCTGATTTATGTTATTTTTTAATATTTTATTATATTTTTATTATTTTATTACTATCTACTACTACTTTGAATTTCATTTATATTAAGCTAATAAAAAATTATCGTTAACATACATGATACTCGAAACAGCAAAAACTATAACAAAATAGTAAAAAGCTAAATATATTCATTAGTGTACAATCTGATCGAGTAAGGCACAAATGATAAATCTGTCAGTTCTACATTTAATGGATCCATACAAATTGTTTCTCTTAGAGCCCAAATTGTGATAGTTATTATACAGCTGGTGTTTTGCATTTTTTTAAATATTAGCTTGGATACATTTATGACATATCCCCATCAGTGAATAATTTATTCTTGATTTGTATACATATAGCTATTAACTTACTATAGGCCTATGGATGAAAAAACAAATCTGTCAATGTAACAGAGAGTTAAATAATCCCTGTCATTTATTTTATGGTAATGAAATGTTTAAATCAGCAACAATTATTTTCTCATCTGTTTTTGGTTGGAAATATATAATTTCTCTTTTTTAAACTAAAGTATTTAAAATTTTAATTGATATTTTGAGGTTTATCCTGATTTATATATATAGGCCTAACCTTAATTTTTAAGCTTATTCCCCTCACACACTGAGTCTCCATAGTGGTGTAACGCCATGAGCTCTTGGGAGGGCCATTGGCCTATACATTATATTAATCGATTATAACATGTTATTTAATGTTTTTACACGTATTTAATAATAGGCCTATATAGTAATCACGTATTTAATTCTTAATTTTTTAATGTTTTTAGGGCGGAGAGGTGGATTTGACTCTGGCCGGGGCCCCATAATTTTTTGAAAACTAAAAGAAAATGCAGGGGCGGATCTAGAATTTTTCAAGAGGGGAGGAAGTGGGTGTGGGGGGCACAACATACTCAAAATAGGTGTAGTGGTAATAGTAATAATAGGTGGATAATTATTATTATTAATTATTAATAATAATTATTGGGAAGATAAAAGCCTATAGAGACATGATCGATTTGACCATTAAGAGCGATGGTCATTTGATTGAGATTGGGCATCATAGTATCCAAATCATTTTGGTTACTTAATTAGCTGGACGACCCGAAAAAAGTGATTTAAAAGTCGTAGACCTACAATTATTTATAGGGGAAAGTTTTCGTCCGCCCCTGAATTGTTATAGTATAAAATAGTCCATTTTTTAAATGTTAGAACGGTACCGTACTTTATATAATATAACCAGTGAAAAAACTGTATAGAGGCCATACGACAAGCGCACCTGGCCAGAGGGAGTGGAGTGGGGTCGAGATTTTAGAAATGCTTGAGACCATTACACGGCTACATGGAATTATCAAAAAATTGGATTGTTTTGGAGTAGGCCTATACATACATACCGTGTTCCCCTCTTGCTAGACTTTATTTTCTTCTCTTTATTTTCTGGGGAGGGGGTGTATCCTCCGTGTTTCCTTGATCCGCCCGTGGGAAATAAATTCTGTGTTGGGATTTAGATGGTTCACCCCAAATATCAACAAAGATGACTTCTATTCTCAATTTCATTTGTTTGTATTCTGTGTATCCGTTTTTGTGTTGTTGTTGTTATTGTTGTGGAGTTGATATCAAATAAATCAAATCAAATAAAAAATGACTGATTTAATGATTGTTTAGGCCTATATTGGAAAAGCTTCATTGGAACAGATCAATAAATTCATGATTAGGCCCTAAGCATCCGACCTACAGTATGCACGTTAAGGAAATTCATTTAGTAGGCGAAGGTGAAGTGGGAGGGCTCGATGATCAGTTGAGGGTTTTCTAATTCGCAAAAAAAGTGATTTAGGTGATTTTTAACTACTACTACCGTGATTTGAAACCAGTGTCAGTATAATCTTATCTTATGTATAAAAAATGTTGTGTTTAAAATGAAACCAGTGAAATATATAATTTTTTAAGCAGCAGCGGTGCCAGCGTCTGAAATTTGGGTTGGGGCGGCAAGTAAGGGGTTAGGTAAAATTTTAGGGGGAGGGGCGCAATATTCTGGGTGGCCCAAAGTGGGTGTGGTCGGGCGTCGATGAAAATGTCTTGAAAAGTGGTCCAGAGGGCGAAGCCCTTGAACAATATGACAATTTAGGGGTTTCAGCTTATTTAATCGATTTTATAGATAGATAGTCTACTAATATGTAGAAAATACATAGGCCTATCATTTTTTCCTCCCCGATGAATTGTGTTTTTCTTCTTTTTTGTGGGACTGGGGGAGGGCAGCAAGAAAATGATCTGCGGGGAAATTCCCCTCTCCCCCCAACCCCACTAGCGCCGCCACTGATTTTAAGAGAAATACTCTGGTTTGTTGTTAATTTAAGTAAAAAATAAATGGAACACACAAAATAATTTCGAATATTTATTTCTTGCATTGAATATATTACACCTATTGCAGAACCCACCGACAAATCGTTGTCCCCTGGTTTTGCTACTCCACCTGTGAAATTCACGCTCCAGTATACGAACGAAAAACCAAAAATGAAGGTTTTCCAAGCTGATCTGATACGAGAAGGATCACTCACAAATCACCGAGGTTTCAATTAGTGGTGTACTGCTACAAAATATAACGTGACAAATATGATTTTCAATTTTCTGGTCTGTCCACAGATCCTTAAGAAAATCCCAATTCTAAAATATTTTCTAGAGAAAAGCTATTTTTGCCTTTTACTGTCAATTCGATTACACTCAATAAGTTTGATTAAATATATATGTTTTAACAACATCAACATACTAAACTAAACTAAAATAATATTGTACCAAAATCTTTGTCATAATCATAATCCAACCAATCAATTAATTGTTTATTAAATGCACTACTTAGCCGGTAATAGGCCTACATTCTTATTTGACACTGCATTTTCGCAATGATCAATATGGGCGCACACCATACTTAACATTTAATAAGGATAGAAAAACTATAGCCAGCAAAAATATCACTTAAAAACAGAATATTAAATATTCAGTCGTCGGCAACCTCTTTTCGTGAAAATGTCCACTTGTGTGTATGTGCGAGTGAGGACGTAGATATTAACGTAAAGCCAAACTTGGTTATGCCTCGAAACAACCTCACTCGACTTAGATGTGGGTCTGAATGCTGAGGCATAGGAGTATTATTTCGAGGTGTATCACATGGTATTAATGTATATCCAGTGCATTCTGCCCTGCCAATCACATCCTGAGACGGCGACTGAGTTGTATATTCTTCAAGTGTGGCTACACATATAAAATAATCATTATCAGTTAAGATTTGATGGATTATGTTTGGTTTGCCAAAAATCCGCCATTGGTATTTACCACTTCCTCTTTGAAATTCTACCTCCACAAATTCGTAGGTAGGCCCACCAGGCCGTCGAATACGTTTTACGTCGATAAGTTGAATGAGTTCTTGTATTTGGTAGTAGTCTGCCTCAGCCGATAGAATATCCCACTCTTGAAAACCATCAGGAAGAATAAGCTTTGATCGACGGAGGAAATTCAGAATGTGTCGGAATGTTGGACCGTCTCCGTCAATGATGTAGCGGTGGCAATCATCAACGGCAGGCCATTGCAAACGGCCGCTGAACATTGACCCTAGCATTGAATCCGGATAACGCGTTAACGTTGAGCGACTTGTTGTATAGATGCATCCCCCGACATTCAGGTTTAATATTTCGTCAGCCATATCAGAGAAATAATTATTTATACTGTAGTTCGTAGAGAAAACAGGATATTAGGCCTTAGCTAGGTACTACAGTACCTGTACTTCCTCTTCTATTTATAGCTTACTACACTAAATGGCCTAGACAAAGAATGGGCTGCCTTATAATACAGCGGCGGGTTAACCAGTGATGCGAATCACATTACTGTATACACTAGGGCTGACGGGAAATTCATGCTAGATTTATACCAAAAAAAAAGCCAAGGGGTCGTGAAACGTAGGGGCAGTATTATGGGTAGTCTCTTTTTCCTCGGTCTGTCGCCATACTCGGCTAGCAAAGGCGCGCGCAACGGATCAATCTGTCATTCCAAAGAGGAAAACAAATAAAAACAAAGTTTTACGTAACATCGCAGCAGGAGCTACAGGAATAACTTATACTTAGTTGAGAAACACTGTAATTACTACGAAAGACCCCAGGAGCATAGCGTGGTTCTCATCAAGGGGATGCGAAAATTGTAAATGCAGAACGGCAACTAACCAATGGCGTAACAAAGGGAAGGCCCCGAGCCAGGCGCTGGGGGCGAGGGGAAGCGAAGGGCTCCGTGGGGGCGTGGGGAAAAAATCCCCCAGCCGCTCCAATGTTTGTGTGTTTTGTGATGTATTTTAATATATATTCTGGCAAAATTGAGTTCTTAATTTTGTATCGTGATTTGACAAAATAATCTTAATATATTGTAATTAAGATAATACTTTGTCCGTCTGTAACTTAATTTCTTGTTACATATTGTTTCATTTTTTTTATTATACTATATCAAACAAATTATTAAATAAAGTTTAAAACGTTCAATCAAAAGAACAAAAATTCTAATTATCATGAGAACCTGTCAAGTCTTACGCATTTCACAGGAGTCTAAGCATTAAATTTGACCTCGCGCCCTCACGCGAGGCATATACCCATTATTCTCACGCATTCCATAATTTCTTCAAATAATTTCTTTAAAATTAATTTCTTCAAAATTTAAAATTCAAATATTTCAGAATTTCTTCAAAATTATATTTTTTAATGTGATATTTTCTCAAAACAAGCATACAACATGTACAAACACGACTGTCGGCGCTGCGATACTGTAACGATCGTCAACGTGTTCGACGCCGCCTCAGCACTGAACAAACTAAATGGGATATCAAAACTGACACTTTGCATCATAATTTAAAAAAATGCCCAATCTCAAGTAAACCCAGAAGAAATATCAAGCAAGCCAATTTGAGACCCTTGACAGGTCTGCATTACTGTTGCATGTGTTATTGGTATTAGTGAAAAGATTACACAGTAATTAACAAAATAAAAATTTAATGTATCTTTTAAATGATCTAAAACCCATTAATTCACATAGGCTTTGCTTCGACTATAATTTTACCCAGTACTGTTATGCTGTTTAAGGATTTTTTGTATTGCTCGGACAGAGTTTGAGGCAAATGTCAATGAAATTTAATGATTCCAACCATCTACCACTTAATATTTCCCCAAAGTTTTTGAATATTCAAAAATATATATCTCATTAAGCGCTTTTTATCTCATTAACCAAGTTTTTAATCTTATTATTTTTCGTATTCATTGCACATTTTTCTCTGTAGCAGAGTACGCTTAATGTCGCAATTCACTGGCGCAAAGTTTTATGCAGACCCTAAGCGCGAAGCATGCGAGTAAAGAATTTCGTAGTTAAGAACTGCCCCACCTGCGTGTAATGAAAAAAAATTTTGGGCGAATTCGTCAGAGTGCCGCGGTATTCACCGTACGGTACGCAGACCAACTTCGGCTCGCCAAAAAATCGATCCGGCCCGCTACTTGCTCAAAAATAAATTATTTTCTTGGTCAATTTTCAGTTAGGCCTATTGTTGCAAAAGGATTTGCTAAAGAAGTGGGAATAAATTCACATGAGTAAAATGCGTTACTTAATCTCAATTTAGGCATGACACAGCATGCAAAACGTTAGAATTAATGGCATAATGACGCAATCGTTTTTTAAGTGAATAGGAATGTCACCTAGTCTGACGGTGTTAACAAGTGTCATAGATTTTTCTGAGTTGTTAACTATGTGGCGTTGACTATTAATTGACATGGGGAGAAGGCGACTGATGGGAAATAAATAATTATATGAACAGGCTTGGGGTACATGAACCCATCGGGAAATTCTGGACTCATATGCTTAAAAAAAGTCTAAGAAGGCCCTTTCCAGGCATATGATATGTTATTTTAAAAGCTTGCTCACCTCAGCCCAAAACTTGGTGGGGCAGGTCTGGACCTTTCGGTAGTCGGGATATTCCCTAATTGTAGAGTAGAACTAGGGGTGCAAGTTTGTTTAGAGTCCACCCCTTCTCTATTTGATATTCCACTGCATAACACCCTCATTAAAAGGAAAACAAGGCCTATCACGGTTGATGTTAAAGTATCAGAGTCTTTAGCCAGACTCATGCTATGCTGTAATAGGCATAGGCCTATACTTGCAGGCCTATAAAAGGGAATGGGTGAGGCTGTCATTGAAAAAAAAATATGGTCCCAACAAATTGGAACTGGCCACCACAATAAAAAGGTTGAATACCAGGGCTTAGTGGAATCATCGAGGTATTAAACAGAAGGAGATACAGCTAGGCTTTGCCTTTGATGTATCAGGGTAACCGCTGTTTAATATTAATTAGCTAAAAACATCAATGGCTCAAGTGTTATCTCGATGTCAACCTAGTTTGGTCTGCTGCGCATCCCCCAGCATGGGTTGTTATGCCGCGATATGGCGATGCTTGACGAGTTAGCGCTGTCGAGTGAATTTGATTTTGAAGATTTTGACGTAGAATTAGAAGGATTAGACGTTTTACAGGAGAATGAAGATGAGGATAAAAACAGAAGAAAATACTGTATATGTGAAAATCCAACCACTGACGACATGATAAAATGTAAAGGAGATGTTTAATACATGGTGGAATGAAACTCCAAAGAAACGATGCGTCAAGGCGGCAGTACGTGTACGAGCACCAAATGCACCACATTCTTGTACGACTAGCATATCATAGGTTTACACCAGCATAACATTTTTCGCCCTTTTTTCTTGGAGGGGGGGGGGGGGGGGGCCGTACCCCTCGATACCATTTTGGCGGCAACGTCAGTCCACATAAGACACATCCGCCTTTTTCGAGGGATTTTAACTTCGTTCAGTTCAGAGACGATGGACCCCAGGGCTATTAGGGACCCATTCATAAATAGGCCGGTAATAATAAAAACAACTCCATATTTTTGAAGAAAAAAAATGGCCAGTGGACCCCTCAATAAGTTTGTCTAAAAGTAATAATTGATTATTGTGTTTATTTCAAATTATATAAAAAAAAAAAGAGGGGGAGGAGGCGGGGAAAAGAAAATGTTAGGCCCTATATTTAAATTCAAGTTCAGTGGTGCAATTTCCGGCCATCTAGAAGTGCCATAATTTTTTCTCCCTCAGTCCAAATTATGGTGGGGCTTGGTGGCTTACACCCTCCATCTGTGAAAGTCACTCCCTCCCCCCCCCACCCCTCTTTCGAATTGGATCCGCTACTAGACTGCAATTGTTTAATTTTACGTGCCATTCTTGAAATAATTAAGAAGGTTACGATTATTCTTAGTACGGTATTTATTACTAGCCTGGAATTTTCTGAACGTTAAATCAGTACATCTATTCCTAGAATTTTCATTCGTTAAGCTGAAAATTTGGTTCCTGAAAATCATTAGTCATGATCCAGGCCTACGGCTCTCGGTTGACGCTTTGTAAAAGGGCCGGTTCTCACTTAGATACACCACTGGTTCAGTAAGTAACTTACTTGTCTGAGAACGAATAAACAAATTTTTGGTGCAATGTGGTGGTCATAGCGCTATGACTAGTGAGCCCTCTTCATTCTTCTGCTTTTTCAGATATGAATCTTCTTCAGCCACACGTAAAGCCTGCCACGATTGGTGGATCTATGCTAGCTGCATAAGTCTCATCAAATGCGTACGAGACACGATACACAATCATGTTCATCATGATACCAACAGTTGACGTAGGTGACCTAATGGCACACTCATCATCATCCCGTTTGTCCCCTCATGGGGTCGGGTCGCTTCATTATCGTCCTCCATCTGGTGCGATTCATTACTGCTTCTACGTCTACCAATCTTCCATTTTGTCTGATACAGTCCATCCATCTGGGTCTCCCATCTTATATCATATCAACCTCTTTCCGTCTCATTATAATGTCCGTACCATCCCAATCTACACTCTTGTATTCTATCTCCCAAACGTGTCACCTTTGTTTCCTTCCGAATGTCCTCGTTTTTCATTCGGTCCTCCAGTGCATCTTCTTCATCCGCAAGCCCGCAAATGCATATTATACGAGATACGATATAAACAAAATCATGTTCATCCTGATACCAAATGTTGACGTAGGCTCGAGGCGTATAATAGCACGCGTATCTTTCGAAGAATTTTAATTTAAGGCTAGCCTGAAGAGTAACTGATTAATCACTCATTCGAATGTTATTTATATTGAATCTAAGTGATGTATGCTCGCTCATCAGTGCATATTATAATGTTACACAGAGGAGGAAGCTTTGCCTACGATAAACAGTGTATACTGAAAACAAAAACTTTTCCTTGTCGTCTTAACCTTGTCGTTTTTATACAGTTTATACTTCATTTCCAGCAACCAATTTTGTGTTACATTGAACACAAACAAGATTGACTTGAACTTGAACTGAGGAAGGACCACACCAGACAAGTGGCGGTAGCGCCGGTGAGGGGGTTGGGGGAGAGTTACAACGTGAGACAAGCTATGGACCTCCTGTCGTATTTGAGGGCAACGTACTAAAAACACAATTTTAACGTCCTAAACCACTGTTTAAAAAAAAAAATAAAAATAAAAAATAGTGTCGAGCAAATGCAGTAATTGTCGGTTACCAGACTAGGGGAAGTCCCGTTGCGATTACATCATCGCGCAAAGTATACAATTGCAACAATCAGCTTTCATCCTTTGCCGTATTGTTTCCAATTTAGTTCTGCTGGCGTGTGGTGGCGCTACCGGGTGGTTAATTAGTAGCCATTGGTGGATA